TACCCTCTTTCTTGAGTTCTGTGGAGATATATTGTCGGGGTGGTGCCATGATCTGGTGAACCGACAGCCTCCTTACCCCAAATCTCGGTTACAAGAAAACCGTCCTTCCCTTTCGACCACTTACCGTTCTGCAATGGCCTAATAACATGATGCGTGCTATCACCATTTCCAGAAGGCATTGTACCAGTTGAACAAGATTGAGATGAACCAGGCCCTTTTCGTAGGTACGACCAAGAACTCGAACCAGAGGATAACACACGTGCGGTAAGCCCCATAAACAGAAAATGTAAATAAGTTGGCCGTGTCATCCTGAAAAGAACATACCATTCAGAGTAAAGATTCTTATCGTACATCAACGGATTGTTCGGCATGTCACTTGCGTTTGTGTCCAGTTACCGATTTGTATCGAGCAAGAATTCGGTGACAGATATAAAGGGTCTATATTCTCGTCGGTGGAAAATCATTTGGAATAACGGGAATAACGAGAAAAGACATACAGCTGAGAGAGTTGTGGAGACCGGTAGGTCTTGGAATAAGATCACAGAGTGGCATGTCATAGTTCCAGGCTCCAGCACATGATTCTAGCATTCCGACAAGAGACTGCACATGCGAAAGTACGAGTCAATATACTAGAAGATGAAAATTTTGAACCATTGGTAAGCACATAATCTGCTGGAGAATGAGAAAAAAAACCTGAACTTCAAGTGCTGCTTCCCTTCTTAGAGTGAGCATCTGAACAGTTCCATATTCATTTAAGGATTCACGAAACGACGGTAACTGAAGTTTCTTCCCGACAAAAAGATCTGTCTCAAAGAGAAAACCATTACATCAGATATTAAACAGATAGCAGCAACTCGAGCATTACACAGTTTTGCGCAAATCCAATTCGAGGAATTTGACACAGCAACCGCTTTTGATATGCTGAAAATTGGTAACGTGAAGTGCATTGAAGCACGACCAGAACAGAACGCATACGGGAGCAGACATATATGCTCGATTTGGGAGGTACGACTTACCATTCAAATAGTCCATAATGAACGAATACAAGTGTGACCGCGTAAGCCCTCCAGTTGGTTCTTTTTCAAGTAATGCTCTAACTGAGCCGTGAAACATCAAGAAGAGGGAATGCACTTCCTTAAGCACATTCCTTAATGCATCAAATCTCCATATGGCTTCCATCTCCTTATTTTTCTCCACCACCTGCCAGTGTTTAGGTCAGATTCTGTACATTGGCATGCATTACACAAAAAAAAGTGAAACGCATATTGCGCAAAGAACAATTCCTCTAAGATCGCATTAGCTATACAACATCATTTAAACGACGAGCGCTTCAAGCAATATAAGAGATCACACTCGTTGATGCCTTACCATCACCATCCATATATCAGGCTCTGCCTCATAGTAAACATGTGAATGCTTCTTAGCTTCTATTACCTCACAAGCTGCCTCTGGGGAGAAAAGTCTGCACAAAATTTACACTACGCCTCAAATACAAGGAAATCACAGACAACCCAAACAACTGAACAGAAACAGAATGTCTTTTTTCAAAGTCGCACAGTCAAGACTTATAACCAGATCGTTGTATCCATCCAACACTTGAATTGCTGACCATCAAGCAGAGAACATTAAACAGAAACCCGGTTGGCAAGATGACCTTGTAAAGGTAATGACATTCGCTTAGGCCGATAACCGATAGCTGAGTTGAGAAGGCTAAATCTGCGGGGTAAAAGAACAAGATCTTGTCTAACTCATGCTCTTCAGCCTGGCCTCTCCTCTCAAGTCGAAGGCTTTCACTGGGAGAGCTCACGGACACCATCCCCATCTTTTCTATGAGCTCAAAAAACACACCCTAACACACAAAAAAGACAGTCTTCATAACTCAAGCAATATTAGAAGAACTTGATCAATTCTGCAATCCTTAAAAATATCTACTTTTAAATTCACGAACAAAATTGGATTTTTGGGGCACATTCTAATTCATTTTTAGCTTACAAACCATGAGAATCATTCCCCGTACAGTCAGAATTCAACGTGTAAACCTATATCTCGAGAACAAAGATTACAACTTTAGGGCTCAGAACATCGCGAGACAAACTAAATCGTCTCGCATGATCATCTGTAGAATCGCGTAACCCACGAGCATCAATCACAAAACCCACGAAAAGTCGGAAAATTTATTACCTCGAGGCCGATTCCTCGAGCTAAATCGAAGAAGCTATCGACTTTCGCTGATTGAAGTAATCATATATCAGAACAAAAAACCTAAATGCAAAAGCGAACTTCAAATCATTCCGACCTCAGATTAAGCAACCCTTCGCGGAATTAGAGCGAGGGAAAGACCAATCGAAGTAAATATTTTGATCAACAGACAATTTCTGAGAATCTAGGGGAGAAGAATGGACGGGTAACTAACAAACTAGCGCGCACTAACCAGATCGAACAATTAACCGAGTCGGGTTCAAGAGAGATTCGGGTCAAGACCTGAAACGGGTCGGATCAGACGGATCTCTTAGTTCTGCATTTCCTTGCTTACATCATCTCATTTCCACGGATTCCCGTGCTGACTGTGTCCTACACACGTTTGCCTCCAAATATTTGTTCATTAGATTCCAAAAGTTAAGATTTTTTATTATTATTTTCTCACGCTATAAATGCAAAATCAATATAATGTAAATTTTCTTTTTGTTTATTACGCCGGATGATACAACTGCTTAACCATAACACTTTCAAAGAGAAAAAAAAGAACAAACCTTTGAAAATAGTGTCGGACGGAAGTTATTGTCCTAATTGAAGGCATGTTTTTTTTTTCATCTCAAAGCCATGAGTAGAAATTAAGATTAGTGGTTAGAAAAACGGTTAATTTGATTTTGAGTATTGCAACCAAAGCAAAATTAGTTACGGATCGGTTTGAATTTCCTCCACGAGGGCACCTCGAATTCACCGGCAACCAAAAAGCTTTGCGTGTTCTTCGTGCCCTTCTTTTTTTTTTTTGGTTAAATTCTTCGTGCCCTTCTTCTTCTTCTTCTTCTTCTTCTTCAGTTCGTTCAGAAATACTTCGGCGATTCCGAGCCGACCATTTTGAGTCTTGCTCTTGGGTATCTTCATCGGCTTGATTCTCTCTCGCGCCTCCTCGGGATTCAGTACAGTTCCAGTGCTGAAACATGTCAACGTCTCAGAGGTGAATTCTGCTTTGGAATTTCAGAAATTCACGATTTTTCCGGGGCTTTCGCCTTCGTTTTGATCCTTCTAATTCTGGGTTTTTTTTTTTTTTTTTGTCATCATCTGCAGTTGTCCGATTCGGTGTGTGATGGGTATTACAGGGTCTGCAATCCCGAAATGACCACGGAAATTCCGACTCTGATCCGCTTTTGATCCTCGCGTCGTGTTTCTGTACGATTGTTCTTGTCTATTCTCCTTCTCATTTCCTAAATTGTCGGCAGTCTCCGATTTATGATCGGTTTCTGAGGTTAGTACGCAGTTTTCTGATAAATTTTTTTTGTCTGGATGCATGACGAACCCTGAGATCGTTCTTGATTTCCTCTGTGATATATTGTTATCTAACCGTAGATTCAAATTTCAAAGTTATCTGATTTAAGTTCGAATCTCTAGAAATACTGTAGATACGTGTAATGTCTCCAGAAACTATTTGCAGAAGTTATTCAAAGAAGCTTCTCATTGTGAATTTGATTCTCTTAATTATCCTGCAAGTGATCAAAAGGATATATACTCACCCGTCTGTCTAATCTGGATTTCAGTGTCTCGAAACTGGCAGTAATGTCCGAACTGAAAGAGCGGCTGCTTCCTCCAAGACCAGCTTCTGCGACGAACCTTAAGGATTCAGTGTCAAGGCCTTCTGCTTCTGGAAGACAACCTCTGAAAGGAGTTGATGTTTCGGGTCTCAAGAAACGAGGTCAAGGGCTTCGGTCATGGATTCGTGTCGATACTTTGGGCGACACCCAAGTCATTGAGGTTGACAAGTTCACAATGATGCGTCGGTGTGACTTGCCGGCTCGTGATTTAAGGCTCCTCGATCCTCTGTTTGTGTATCCGTCAACAATCTTGGGCAGAGAGAAGGCTATTGTCGTGAACCTAGAGCAGATCCGTTGTATTATTACAGCAGATGAGGTTCTGCTGTTGAATTCCCTCGACAATTATGTGTTCCGGTACGTGGTTGAATTGCAGCAGAGACTGAAGACCAGTTCTGTTGGCGAGGTTTGGCAGCAGGACAACGATTTTGGGAATTCATCCCCTGATTATTTACCTTTCGAGTTTAGGGCTCTTGAGGTTGCTCTAGAAGCTGCTTGTACGTTCCTCGATTCCCAGGTCGGTAATGTTAACTCAAAACTATATAACTAAGAGGGCTTCTATTTTGGTGATTTTCTTAGAGAAATGTATCGGTAACTCGAATGAATTTTGTGAATTTCTAAAGGCTTCTGAGTTGGAGATTGAGGCATACCCGTTATTAGACGAGCTCACATCGAAGATCAGTACCTTAAACTTGGAACGTGTACGCAGACTGAAAAGCAGACTTGTAGCATTGACGAGAAGAGTTCAGAAGGTGCGGGATGAAATTGAGCAGCTAATGGATGATGACGGGGATATGGCGGAAATGTATCTAACCGAGAAGAAGAAAAGGATGGAAGGGTCTTTCGATGTTGATCAGTCATCACTCGGTAACCGATCAAATGATTGTCTATCTGTCTATGCACCAGTTTCTCCCGTCTCTTCTCCTCCTGGTTCTCAGAGACTCGAGAAAAGCTTGAGCATTGCCAGAAGCCGCCATGACAGTGCGAGGAGCTCAGAAGGTGCAACTGAGAATATAGAGGAGCTAGAAATGTTGCTTGAAGCCTATTTTGTTGTCATTGATAGCACACTAAACAAGCTGACGTCGGTATATATAAACTCCATTTCTAACTCTTAGTTCATTCATGAAGTTTACTTCATCATCTTTTCTACTCTTCTGAAGCAGTTAACTCATCTTTGTTGATTTGTGACATTTCAGTTAAAGGAATACATTGACGATACCGAGGATTTTATCAACATTCAACTGGTATATCCTTCTCTCTTCTCTTCGGTTTAATCTTACCGAAGATCTTGTAGCAAAAGACTGCAGCTTTGATATCATACCTTATAGTTTCTCATCGAGATTGGACATAAACTGGATTTCGGGTCTTTCTGTTTCGAGTTGAATATCGTCGGATTTGCAGGATAATGTCCGGAATCAGCTGATCCAATTCGAGCTGCTGCTGACCACTGCAACCTTCGTAGTAGCCATTTTCGGGGTTGTGGCTGGAGTCTTTGGGATGAACTTCGAGATAGATTTCTTTCAACAGAGAGATGCATTCAAATGGGTTCTGATAATTACTGGATCATGCGGCATGGTTATATTTTTGGCATTCATCTGGTTCTTTAAGTATAGAAGACTAATGCCCCTATGAAGATGTTGATGCTCACAAACAAGATGATTTCTGATATTCTTTTGGGTATATGCCTATTTATTGTTCATTTCCATCATCATAGATGAAACATTTGTTTGTTCTGAGCAAAGAGAAGAATTATTTGACATATTGGGGGCAGCTCTTCAGTCTCTAGCTAAAACGTGGCAACTCTGGTAACAGGAATACACATCTATTCTTGCATATACATCAGGAAAAAAAGGAAGAAAAATGTGATCAGATCTTCTTGTTTATTTGACATATATGCTGGAATCTCAACAAATTACAGGAAGATTCATGGGATGGGAAACAAAAAAACATCTGGGCCACTGCCTGCCTCGGACTATGTCAGAGTCCTATGAACATAGAGAAAACGCTGTAGAATCATTCTCAATCAGTTTGTGACTAGATTCTGCAAAAAGGGTCTGCATTCTACTGGTCAGATGATGAACCAGAGGACAGCCGAGCTTTCCGTGCTTTATCGGCTTTTTCCAAGTAATCCTGGTGAGACTGATGCTTTGAGCCTGCAGCATAACCAAGTTAGATAAACCCTTTACAAGCACATTGAATTACATTCTCCTCATATTCATGCAAAAGCAAAACATGTACAATGAGAATGAGATTTTGAAGGCAAACAGATGTACAGAACACTGGGGAAGTATCTGTCTAATGTTTCATGAGAAGGGTAATATTATAAAGACTAATACATACACACACACACAAACGCACATAAGAATTGAAAAGTCTTAACAGCTTGTAATTAAGGAAATCAGTAATCTCGGTTTTACCGTCCGTACACTCTCCCCTTATTCAATCTTTGCCATGCAAGAAGATGGGAATCACTAGTTCTAAAGCTTGTTATCGCTAGAACTTGCAGAGACTAATCTCTCAACAGGGATCAAAAGGCTAGGAAGTTGTGACTGATGCTTTTAGCTCTGACATATCCAATCAGATTCCAGTTCATTCAGCTCATCCATTAACTGACAAACAAGCCCTGTCTCCCACTTAGCGACAGATTCGAAGCCAGAAGTTGGGTTTTGTCGGTATGTTCTAACCCTAGCACCGTTTCGATAACTGAAACATAGATCAATCCTAACCCACTTTCCTTCTGATCATCTCCACCAAATAAAAAAACGGAAATCCATAAAGATCTTGACTTTGCCACTTCACCAAACAGGAATTCATCCCCAGATCGAACCACCAGTAAGAAACACTACACAATCTGAGAAAAAAACCAGAAGATTCGAAAAACCCACCTCGATTCATCAGATACCAAGGGACTCCGAAGACGACGGTGATATTCCCGATCCCAGCCATGACATGCTTCTTGTCTATAGAAAATGCTCCATCTTCGTCCTATATCCTCCTCCGTCGATATTAGCAGCTCGATTACTCTTCGCCTCGTTTCCCATCTTGATCTCGGATACTTTCCTTCAATTTCCCAGAGTCGGAAATCAGATTGCTTAGATTTTCGTCTGGGTTTATCAGGAAACAAGAAACTCCATGAAAGGACGAGGATTTAGAGAATTCTATCAGTTCTATATGGGCCTTGCAGAAGCCCATTTTAAACATTAATAGCCCAAAACTCATATTTTCTATTATTACAAATTATCCCCAAATTTATCTTTATTTACGTTATGAGTGCCGATTCGCATTCAAATGTGCCCAAAACTTTCCTGGAGTTCACTTTTCGGCCCCGTTGTCGGCCTAACTAAGAACATTTTCCCGTTAGGAACTGTCGTCGTCTACTTCCGTTGAACAATGGCTGCGATTCTCACCATCGCGAGGAGGATTGCAAGAATGCAACAGTTTCGTTTTGCTCGAAATCCATTTCTACAATCTGCGATCGCTAATTCTTTCTCGCGGTCATCATCGTCGAATCTCTCTTCTTTCTCTTCAGCATTTCATCGAACAGGTTCAGTACGTTCTCGACTATGCACACATTTCCTTCGTCGTATTTCGTTAAAGCGCTTGTCCACTCAAATCAATGCGCAAGTATTTGACTTTCCCTCTTCGGAGACCCAAAATTTGATTCCACCGGATCAGCGTATGATTGATTTGATCAGACGGGTGGCTCTGTTGGACTCGGAGGCGCATGCCATGGCTTCTCTCGAAGATTCATCCTTTCATCTGAATCACGATTCGTTGTATTCTTTGATATGGGAATTTAGAGACGAATGGAGGCTTGCCTTTTTGGCGTTCAAATGGGGCGAGAGATGCGGCCGCGGTGATAAAAAATCTTGCGAGTTGATGGTTTGGGTTTTGGGTAATCATCAAAAGTTCAATATCGCCTGGTGTTTGATCCGAGACATGTTCCATGGTTCAACAGATACGAGAAATGCCATGTTTTTGATGATGGACAGGTCGTATTTCACATTCTTTCAGATTTTCTGTTAACTTTGACATGATGTAGGTTTGAGATTGTCCTGTATAGTAAGGTCACTAGTTCAACTTTCAGATAACTCAAGCTAATGGAGATTGATTTGATTCACGATTTTCGTTCTCTGTTCATAATATTCGTCATGTGATGAAATGATAGTACTAAGTATTGAGTTATTTGACTTTTTTTTTATGTAGATATGCTGCTGCTAATGATACTAGCCAAGCTATTCGGACTTTCGATGTCATGGATAAATTCAGACACACCCCTGACGAAGAGGCTTTTCGAGGATTATTGTATGCCTTATGTAGACATGGCCACATAGAAGAGGCTGAGCAATTCATGCTTGCAAATAAAAAGCTCTTTCCAGTGGATGTGGAAGGATTCAACATTGTTCTTAACGGTTGGTGTAACATTTGGGTTGATGTGACTGAAGCAAAGAGGATTTGGCGGGAGATGGGGAATTACTGTATCGAACCTAACAAGGATTCCTATGGACACATGATCTCGTGCTACTCTAAAGTCGGGAATCTCTTCGAATCTCTCAGGCTTTACGATGAAATGAAGAAACGCGGGTGGTCACCTGACGTTGAGGTTTACAACTCTCTGGCCTATGTGTTGACCCGTGAGAATTGCTTTGATGAAGCTCTGAAGCTTGTGGAGAAAATGAAAGAGTCGGGACTAAAACCGAATTCAGTAACTTACAACTCGATGATACGCCCTCTATGCGAGGCTAAAAAGTTGGAGGAAGCAAGGAATGTGTTGGCCACCATGATCAACGAGAACCTAAGTCTGACAATCGATACATTTCATTCATTCTTGGAGATTGTAGATTATGATCGAACTCTGGAGGTATTAAATGAAATGAAGATTGCTGGTTTAGGTCCCAAAGGAGACACCTTTCTCCTCATTCTGAGAAATTTGTTCAAGGAGAAGCAACCAGAGAACGTCTTGAACATTTGGGCTGAAATGGCTCGTTTTGACATTGTAGCCGATCCCACTCTTTACTTGGCAATGGTTCAGGGTCTTGTGACATGTGGTTGGCTTGCAGAAGCCAGAGAGATTTATTCAGAAATGAAATCAAAGGGGCTTTCAGGGGATCCTAAACTCGAGAAACTTCTTCAGAAACCAGTACGAGGAAATGTCAATGGGAGAAAGAAGAACGTGAGAGGGTTCGGAGCGAGTAAAATGAAAGGTCTTCAAAAACAGAGTTCTAGGGAAAGCTATAAACGACAAAATTGATCAAGATACGTAAAAGAATTAGATGTGGATTTGACCAGAGATCGTAATCAAAAGATCACTTAGATTATTTTCAGCTCAATTTGGGCATAATCCTGAGAATTGTGATACAATGTGTCTGCACGAGACCAAGAGACAATTGCTCCTTCATGCTGCAGTTTGCTACAGGAAGCTTTCCTGCCGATCTATCAATGGCATTTGCTTTGTATTTTCGCGCTAATTCGGCATTCAGTTGCAGGGTAATCCCTTCATCCATTTACCAGATTTGTGATCACTAAGAGATTTCGGCACAAACATTTGCTTAACTTTTTGTCTTTGAAGTATGATCGAACCTGGGAGCTTTTGGAATTACAAGGGCTAAACTTAGTTTATCCACGAAAACGTTGTTGCTTATCATTTGTATAAAAGCTCTAAATCAAAGATTACGTTTCCTCTGCATTATGAAGCATAATCTTTTTCCTTTTCCTTTACAGGCCAGAACTTCTTTTTCCTTTGCACATTGCCAAGGAGAATACTTCAGCGACCTATTGAACAAATGACACGCCTTTCATGCAACCCGAGCATCGATGTGTTGTGCTGCAAATAATTGCAGATCCAACAAGAATCGAAAATGTAAGTTTCTTCAAAATCCTATCCACAAGATATCTATTGATATGTTCTCGGTTTTTCTTTTCTTGCTTCTAAGGAGAAGACCTTTGGCTGACAGAAAATTGCAAAAAAAATCTATCTTGAAACTATCCTTTTATGGACATACATTCAATTAGGACGAAAGGGAATTTCATATCAACTAGAATTCAGTTCTTGTACTCTGTCTGCGCCATACAAATTCGAATTTGAAACTTCAAGTAACTTTAATCATAAATATCTTTTAGATTTACAACCTTTGAGTACAGATTGGATTATTATATTCCTCTTATGTCCCCCAAGAAATAAAGGGCCCGGGTTCAGTCTCTCTTCCATCTTACAACTTACAAGGAGTTTATTTTATGTATCAAAGTAGTAATGCATGATTCTGTTTTTTTTTTTCTGCTGCGTTATTATGTTTTAATTCATGAAATGGGGGACAAAATCTAGGCTGGATAGAGAGCATATCTTCTTTTAACAAGGGCCAGTAGAGGGGCAAAGGGGGACAACTTCCTTGATATTTTTTGCTGCTGCGTTAGACCCTCACCATCACATGCTTTAAACCAAGCACGCGCAGACATAATATGTCTTGTAATGATATTTTATTGTATATTTATATCACTTATACCTCACAAAAGTCAATTCCTTTTTTAAAAATTTTGAATCTTTACATGGAAATTGGATTGTTGGCATTAATAATAACAGCAATCGATTGTTCTCAGCATGTTAGTATCAATTCAAAGTTCGTTAGACCAGAAATTGGAATCCGAAAACAGAAAACACTCATTTATGACGCTCTTCGCATTATTTTATTTGTTTTTGTTCTCTCTTTTGTGTGATGGCCCTTCTTATCCGTTGTCCAGCTACCCAATAAAGCTAAGTAGAAGGAAGTAGAAGCTTTTGACTATTTCAAGAGTGCTACAGACTCTGGTCAAGATCCAAGAAAAGCTGGTTTCAAAACCCGCTCCGAACTCAAAATGTGGAGCTCTTCTGAAAAATTCTTCAGCTTTCTGGTCTTGGTCTCCGCCATCGCCGCCGGCACGGTGTTCTCTCCGGCTGCCGCAACCGACCACATTGTTGGTGCCAACAAGGGATGGAATCCCGGCATGAACTACACTTCCTGGGTTAACAACCAGACCTTCTATGTCGGCGACCTTATCTGTACGTCCTCTCTCTCTCTCTCTCCCCCCCCCGGCCCTGTGTGTGTGTGTGGTTATGTTTATGGGTGGCTTTTGATTAGGTTGGATCTGTTTGAGGCACTTTTCCTGCATCGGGTTTAGTGTTAAAGAAAAGACGTGTTCTTCGACCAGTGAGGTTTGACCTCGGTGGATCTAAAGTTTTAACCTTTGTTCAAAAAGTAGACACCAAATGGGAGTATCATAGTGGGTGAAAAAGGTGTATGACATTTTCTTGGAGGTCTAGGGTTTAAACCCCCCATTCCGCGATTGCCTCCATTGATATGTCTGCAGTTTAGGGTTTGAGCTATTGTACAAGCGTGGGGATTTTACGGGTTCACACAATTATGGAAAAGAAAAGTACGTTCTTTAAGACTTTAACCAGTGAGCTTAAGCTTTTGACTGTCTTGCTAGAGATCTTTAGATTGAACTCTCTGTCTTGATATTATGTTCTTGAACCAATGGGATTCTATGTAGCCGTGGAATTTGAATGGAACCATCTTTCCGATCGAAGTCATCGACACCATTATCTTTTTACGATTCTGGTATTAGTCTCGATTTTTGGGTTCATATTCGGTGCTTTTGAATAAAATCCATAAATCTTGGAGAAACAATCTGTTACGGAGCTATTTTCTGGCGGTTTCTTCTGCTGATACATTTCAAGATCCTCTCTCCAGATGACACTGGCACAGAAAACTAGTCTGGTTCTGATACATACACACACAAATGATTTCTGTTGTGGATGGCAGCCTTCAGGTACAAGAAGTTCCAGTACAATGTGTTTGAGGTGAACAAGACAGGGTACGACAACTGCACGACCGATGGAGCAGTAGGCAACTGGAGCAGCGGCAAAGACTTCATACCTCTCAACGAGGCAAAGCGGTATTACTTCATCGGAGGCAATGGTCAGTGCTTCAACGGCATGAAAGTAACGGTTCTCGTTCACCCTCTTCCTCCTCCACCCTCGAGCTCCGTTTCAGCCAACCAGACTTCTTCCACTGTCTCTCTTCCTAAGCAATCCTTCAGGGCCTTAGTTGTTGTGTCATTTGTTTCTGTTTTTTTCAGATTCGGTCTGATCTAAATCACTTTTGGGAGTCGTTTTCTCATCTGGGTTTTGTTTCTTCACCATTTGGATTAAGGCTTGGATCAAACGGTTCATGCCATCAGGGTTTTTATGAGTGAAATGAGTGATTCGTCATTTAGATTCAAAGGTTGTTTTGCATTGATGTTGTAATGGGCACTAGACTTTTTGTCTGTTTCAGACACAGACACAGACACTGACTGGGAATTTATTTGTTTGCCTCCTTGATAGATTTCGTCTCCATTTAATGCCAAAGGAACATCCGGCAGGGCATTGACTCAGTTTATAATGCATTTATTTCCATTCCTTCCCTTGAAAACCAATATTTCTTTATTTTAGGTTTCATTTAGTTTTGACCTAATTATTTTTTATTTGGCTTATTTAATTTTTATATTTCACCTAAAATTTAGTATATGTAACACATCATGATTTTTTTTCAACTAATTAAAAGCTATTGATTTTGTTTTTTTTCCTCCTAATCTTTAGACATTTTTTTCATTATTGTCGAAATAATAGCAAGTGTGCGTTTTCCTTTAGCTTTAGACTTAAAGAGTGCCTTTGTGGTTACGTTAATTCCGCAAACTCCGGGACGCGATTTTACGCGTTTCCAAGTTGCGTTCTGAATCGCAAATCCAGGCGTATCAAACGCCAATATGATCTCAACAGACCTTTCGAGACAAGGACAAAGGGCACAAACGAGATCGAATGATGTTAGAATTATACAAATATATAATTTCTTTTTTTGTTAATTTTCCATATCTCTATAATTTCAAAACACTTTTTATATAAATTGATTCGTTTAATGGTTATGCGATTAATGAAAATAAGACAGAATTCAAATATACTCACCAGATACATTCTCGACTAATTAAGAGATCTTCTCTGCTAAATTACATTCACTCGATCAAAAGCCACAAAAAAAAAAAAAAAGAATCTGAAACCATTTTACAACAGAACAAGAAAAAAAAATGAAAACTTCCTACTCGGCATTGTTCTTAAGTCTCCGGTTGGATCTGCTGCCGTAAAACTTGGCGGGGGGGGGAGGGGGTTGGATCGCCTGCCGTAAAACTTGGCGGGCGGCGATGGCGAAAATTCGAAGGCAGCCATCGACGAAAACTCGGTTTCCCCTTTCAAGATCCTAACGATTTCAGCAATGTCAGGCCTTAGCTCGGGCGATTTCTGCAGGCAAGCCAGAGCCAAGTTTATGCACAGACCCGCCTGTTCTTTGCTGTACTCGTCGTTCAATTTCTCGTCCACGAGCTCAAGAACGTTCCCCGACTGAGCCAAATGCCTGCACCAGCTCACCAAGTTCGCTTTCTCGAGCTTCATAGGCGATGCAAGAACGTGTAATGGCCTTCTGCCCGATATTATCACCAGAATCAGAACTCCGAAACTGTAGATATCGCCTTTCTCCATCAAGTATCCGCATCCAATCCCGATCTCTGGAGCGATGTAACAGAGTGTTCCTCTCATGCTCGTTGTGCTGCTGAGTTCTCGGCTGAACAAATCTCCGCTCCACATTTCGCTGCCTCCCATTGATCTGTTTCTGCTCTTTCTTCTCCATCCCCTTCTGAAACTGAACTCTCCCTCGGCCTCTCGGTCATGGATGCTGCTTTCTCTGAGTGTTTTCCTTTTTCGGAAACAGAAATGTGGAACCTTTAGCCGATTCTTGAACTTCATTCTGAACATCCTCGTCTTTTCGCTGTTCAGATGTTCCTCCTTCCACCATTCTTGCATCTTCCTATGCTTCTTCTTCTTCTTCTTCAATTTCCGGCTCTTCTCCGCCCTCTCATCGATCTCTTCCTTTGCGAACTCCTCCTCCAGAGTGTCGAACCTCGATTCGTTTAGTCCAGACTCGTTCCGATCTTCGAGTTTATCGGTCGTTCTATTCGAATTCCCCAGCTCGGGCTTCTCAGCAGTGATCTTGTTGGGTTCATCTTCCCAGTCAGGATTCGTCGCGTAAATCTGGCTTCCGATCCATTCCCTCACGTAATCTTTACTACACAGTTCGCCACTCCCGTCTTGCTTCCACCACCAATCTCTCCCCCACTGCTTCGATCCCTTTCCCAGATCAAGAACAGAGTTAGGGCTCAAATTCAAGCCCTTGCAATGCTCTCCAGCATCAAACTCATCATCCACGTCGTTCGAAACCTCCTTCCCTTTCGTCTCGATCCCATCTCTGCTCTCGCCCTCCATCGCCAGATTAGCATTGAAACCCATCGAATTCAGATTCAGTGCCCTAATGTTGTAACTCGTTCTGCTGTTCTTCGAAGAAGAAGATGCTTGTAAAGCGAGAGCGAAATCTACCTCGTGTGTCGGTGTCCCGATTGCTGTCCGAGGAGTGCTCTCTCCACCGAATGCTCCCAGATTCCCAGAAAGCTCTTGGCTTTTCCCCAAATCCTGACTGAACAAATCGACGCCATAGTCTCCTTCGATCTTAACCCTCGACAGACCGAAATCTGAAATCTTTGCCCTAAATTCAGAATCCAGAAGAACATTGCTCGGCTTTATATCTCCATGAATCACAGGTGGGTCACACCCAAAATGCATAAATTCCAAAGCTTTGGCCACATCGAGGATGATACTGAATCTCCTCTCCCAGTTCAAGCCCGAGTTTCCATTCTCACTGAATAGCAGCTCTTGCAGGCTCTTGTTGGGCATGTACTCGTAGACCAAGAACCTGTGACTCTTCTCTACACAGTAACCCAAAAGGGTAACCAGAAATGGCGATCTTAACCCCCCGAGAATCTGTAACTCGTTCTGGAACTCAGTTTCTGTCTGAAGAGAGTGGCTGGGGGGGCTCTTGACAGCGAAAAGCTTGCCGTCTCCTGCAATGCCTCTGAAGACAGTGCCCGGGCGTTCGAGTCGTCGAAATCGTTGGTCGCGATCTTGAGCTCCTTGTGAGTGAACCTTTGGAGCTTCAATGGAGCGGCAACGTCGAAAGGGATGGTTCTTGAGCGGTTGAGAAGAGAAATCCAGAGATGGTAGATGAAGTAGAGGATTGCGAAGAAGATGACCAGAGAGGACGAGATCGTGAGGATCAAGAAGACGAGTCTTGTTCTGTTGGTTAAGTTTGGTCGGATTGGATTTGGAGGCATAGGCCTTGAAGGCATGATTTTCAGCCTTTCTCTCTCTCTCTCTCTCGTGTGTCTTCTTCTTTGATGTGTCTTAATGTATCGAGCTCATGCTCTGGTCTTGTAATGGCGGATCTCTGTTTGTTCTCTGGTTTGCCCTCTCTGCTCCTCGTCGGAATGTTCACAAAAAAAGCTGTTAATGAGTTTCTGCTCTCTTTTTTTTCTCCTTTTATTGGAATGTGACGATTTCTCCTTTATATTTTTTTTCTTTGGGTAAATAAATATGTTCATGTTTCGTATCGGTATGGATTTTACAAGATTGAATTATATGATTGGATATTTAGTTATTGCATTGATTTGAAAAAAGAAGATAAGAGTGATAATGTTGTTTAGCTTTAATGATGATGTTAATTGCTTTCAGTAGTGGATTATAGTGAGGTTGTGATTAGACTTTTTCCTTAACGTATGATTTTATATATATATATATATATATATAATTGTTTAGGCATGTTTTCTTGCAGTTGGATCTTGGAATTGAATTAAAAATGTTATTTTAGTATTAGTTTTGGTTTCTAAGTATCGCATAACTAAGAAAGCAACTAAAATTATATATATAAAAACGAAAGTCGCACAAAAACCTGTCTATTCTTTAAAGGAAAACTATATTAAAATAATAACCACAATGTACATTAAGTGATAACCATGGTCATTATTTTTAATTCCGATTATACAAAGTTGACTAAATAGCAATAAATAATACAAAATCATAATTTATTTTATTTGAAATTCATTTTGTATAATTTTCTTTAAACCTAAGTACGAAGTAAATATAATAATTAGCGAAAAAAAAAACAAATATTAAATGAACATTTTGTTTTAATACAAATCGATTTTTTTTTTTAAAAAAAAAAGAGACTAATATGAATCAAAACGAAACTTCGATATAAAATCGAATAAAAATATCTTTTAATGAAAAAATTAAAACCTAAAAAGACCTAGTTTTATATTTGGATAACTTTCGATATTTTTGGACGGGATCTAACGACGTCTATGTTACAAAACAGCATATAACTCGTGTTTAACTTTGGCCACAAAATCGAAGCTCTTCTTCTTGGAATTCAAAAGGGCTTTAGTTGATGATGCAAATATACAAATAGGTATAACAATCTTTTGGGAGAAGAGAATGAAATACAAATTTTTCTATCATTAATTAGAAACTAATGACGTAAATTGAGGTTAATTAAGGAGTGGGCGAGGTGTCCAATGTGCTTTGACTGCTTTGGGACTTCTGCTTTTAAATTTCTTTTCGGTGGCAACGTAATATCGCGCGTATACCCAATTACACTAATTACCCTAGTCATGGTCATTAGGTGTTTTTATCGTTTATAACGAATACTATTATCTTAGTATTAAAAAAAACGATATACCCTCTCCTTTTCAAATTAGTTGAAGTTTAAAGTTATTTTTTCTGTTTTAAAATGATTGTCATTTTAAATTTTTTAGACAAATTTTTTTAAAATAAAATCAATTTTTTCTTTAATAAAATTACCAAATTCCAATAGCAATATATATAGATCACATCATTTTCTATATATTAAATAAGGATATATGTCACTTTTTTCAATTTTTTTAAAATTTGTATAAAAATTAAAACGTCAATTTCTATTATATATTCTCTCCGTTGGAATATAATTGTCCTTTTAGATTTTTTCACAGTTTTTAAAAAAAAATAAAAAAAAAGTAATATACACCCTTATTAAATCATAGTTACATTAATACTCTATTGAAGTTTTATATATTTAATTAAAGATAACATTGGAAGTTTTTATTAAAAATCACCTAAAAAATCTAAAATGATAACTATTTAGAAATAAAAAATAATCTACATTTATATTGGGAGTATTTTTTTTATGGCTATTAATGAAAAAAAACATCGTCCTGGGATTAAAAAACGGATAAGAAAAATCAGTGGCTGAGAACCATACAACTTATTAGGAAATGGAGAAATGTCGACAACCTTATAATGCAAAGTATTCTATATTACGACGAATTTAAGATTAGTGAAAGAACCAAACAAAGGAACCACCGGGGGGGTTGTCACTTTCTCATTTCTGATATATGGTGATTGTCTTGTTGTGGGGTTGTGGACCAACTTCATGTGCACTAAGTTTGAAAAATTTTGTCATTGAAAAACAGAGAGAGGGAGAGAGAGAGAGGGAGAGAGAGAGAGAGAGAGAGAGAGAGAGAGAGAGAGAGAGAGAGAGGAGTTCATGTGGAAGTGGTCAATCAGATCATGCCCACTGTCTTGTTCTTTTCCCCTTAATGTTCAATCTCGCCCATTATGTCTTTTTGAAATGGTTCCACGATGTCATGATTGCCCATCATTATCCACCATTTGACACTTTTGCTCTTCTTCTTTAGTTAATAAAACCCACTATCCCATTCACCAAATCATCAATTATTTGGGTTTACGACATGTTGTCCACACATATACACACACACACAAAATCATTCAATAGCCAAATATCTAAGTTGCAATAACGTCACTAGCTAGGTTTCATGGCAAAACTTCACGGGTATGTAATTAAATTGCATGTAATATACACATAAATATATATATATATATGATGATTAGGGTTTTCTTTTTTCGATATGATTAGGCCTCTTTCGTCATATATAAAGGTTTCCTTTAATCGTAATTATTTTTCCTTTTTTCACCGTTAAAAAAAATAACTAGTGTTTAAAAGAAGGTGCATGTGTACAGTCGAAAATGGTCCAATTTGTCTCGTTGTTGAGAGTCCTATTCAAACGTAAATGATGCCCTCTCCCCCCAACTTTATTTATTTATCATTATTCCCCATTTTTTTACTTTCGCATGCAACGAGGAATTCCCACGTATTGCTGTTTTGCACTCCATTATATATATATATATATATATATATATATATATATGCACTTCGAAAACAGTATAGGTGTGCGATTGAATCAAAACGAGACCACTCAATATTGTTTTCACATTCTACTTTTGGACCATATGTGTTTTATACATTTGGGTTCCTCGTAGTTTGATGTGTATTTTATCCATGAAGTCCTTCTACGTACGTTGCACTTGCATATATATATATATATATACTGTTTCTCGAATTTCACACGATTTTGTTAAGAAGCGGTCGACAGTCTAAATTTATCACATTTCTAAATTTAGAATTGTGTAAAATCTAATTTTAGCTTTGATATTAGACGTACTAAGCTTTTGACACATTCCTAACAACAAGTCCGATGTTTGCGGGTAAATTTTTCTAGCTGACGTGAAATTAATTTGGATCTATGGAGTTTAGTTTTTGGCAATCGTGATGAAAATAACGGCCATAACGGTCGAATTCACGAACATCATCGTTTTCTTTTCTCTACCCCTAACTTCCTCCGGCAGCTAGGCAACGTACGTAACGCATGTTTTTTCTCTTCTCTCCCCCTTTCTTGTTCCCCAAGCTTTTCAAAACCCTAGATTCTTGTCATCGGATTTCCTTTGATGATTTTCCTAAATGGGTTTCTCTATTTTCTCATGTTTATCACGTGAGTGATCGAAATCTTGTACAGAATCTTCTTTTTTCTGATGTATTTTTTAGGTTAAGTTCGTATCTATGTCTATGTGATCGGCTGTCCGAAAATGTACAAGTCCCAATACATAGGAGGCCAAAGAGAGAAATTCGTAAGGTAATGGAATCGATTCGCATTCACGCTCTTATCATTTCTCCCCCTGTAACAAAAAATACTTTCCATGAAAACGTTTCAGATTAGATGATATAGATTCGAGGTTATCAATGTCTTCCACCGGGAATGGAATGAAGAGTTGGTGTTTCGGTTTCGACTTCACGGCTCGAGGGAAGAAGAACACGTCCAGATCGTTCAGGGAAGGCGTGAAAATCGGTTCAGAAGGATTACGAACGATCGGAAAATCGTTCACGTCCGGCGTCACGAGAGCTGTTTTCCCGGAAGATCTCCACGTTTCCGAGAAAAAAATCTTCGACCCTCAGGACAAAACACTTCTCTTATGGAACAGGATGTTCGTCATCTCCTGCATTGTCGCTGTTTCTGTCGATCCATTGTTCTTTTACCTCCCCATCGTCGATAATTCCGCCAGCTGCATCGGGATCGACACGAAACTCGCTGTCACGACCACGACTCTACGGACGGTCATCGACGTTTTCTACCTCATCCGTATGGCTCTGCAGTTTCGTACAGCTTATATCGCCCCGTCTTCCCGCGTGTTCGGACGAGGAGAGCTCGTCATCGACCCCGCCAAGATCGCAGAACGATACCTGAGCCGTTATTTCCTCGTGGATTTCCTCGCTGTCGTTCCTTTACCGCAGGTAAGAACGTCATCTCGATGCCACAAAACGTCGATTTTTGCCACTGATTCTCTCGCTTTCTGCAGATGGCGGTATGGAAATTTCTTCACCAGTCGAAGGGGACGGAGGTTTTACCAACAAAACAGGCGTTATTACACATCGTCATCATTCAGTACATTCCGAGATTCGTTCGGTTCATCCCATTGACATCAGAACTCAAGAAATCCGCAGGAGCTTTCGCAGAAGGCGCTTGGGCTGGTGCCGCATATTATCTCCTCTGGTACATCCTTGCAAGCCACGTAAGTGTTCCGAATCTGATCCTAAACACTGTTCCTTACGATCTTATCTTAGAACGATTCCTTGTTCGTGTCTTAACGGATTCAGTATCCGTTCTTGTCTGAAATTCTGTAGATAACTGGAGCATTCTGGTACATGTTGTCAGTAGAACGGAATGATGCTTGTTGGAGATTTGCGTGTAAAGTTCAACCAGACCCTCGGCTATGTATTCAGCTTCTGTACTGCGGAAACAAACTCATGACTGTTCCCGATCCCGACTGGATCGGATCGGTCCCCGAGCTTCTCAAGAGCAATTGTTCCGCGAAAGGCGATGATTCGCAGTTCAATTACGGAATATACAGTCAGGCCGTTTCTTCTGGGATTGTATCGCCAATGACGTTTTTCTCCAAGTTCTGCTACTGTCTATGGTGGGGTCTGCAAAATCTTAGGTAAAACCCATATGTAAATCTGCAGTTTTTTTCCTTGATAAGGGTAAATGCGGATGAATATCGGTTATCGTATTTCGATATATGTTTGTTTTCTTGCGTAGTACGCTAGGTCAAGGGCTGCAGACGAGCACGTATCCTGGAGAAGTTTTGTTCTCGATCGCCATTGCTATAGCTGGACTCCTCCTCTTTGCTCTTCTCATCGGTAATATGCAGGTTCGTTAACACAATTTCCTCGATCTCTCTTCATTCTCGACGTGAAAATGACAGGTTATCTGACAAAAGAGGATTTCTTCCGAGATTTCAGACATATCTCCAGTCGCTTACTGTCCGACTCGAAGAAATGAGGATCAAAAGACGAGACTCGGAGCAGTGGATGCACCACCGTTCGCTCCCGCAGAACCTAAGGCAACGAGTAAGGCGGTATGATCAGTACAAATGGTTAGAAACAAGAGGGGTCGACGAAGAAAACATAGTACAGAGTCTACCAAAGGATCTCAGAAGAGACATCAAACGACATCTCTGTCTGAATTTAGTACGAAGGGTACGTTTTCGAGAACTCCCGGACCTTGTATACATAAAAGATACATCGAATAAAGCAAAAAAAAAACTCGGAAACCATGATTTTCAGGTCCCTCTTTTCGCGAATATGGACGAAAGATTACTAGACGCAATCTGCGAGAGGCTGAAACCGAGTTTATACACAGAGAGTACATACATAGTTCGGGAAGGAGATCCGGTCAACGAAATGCTCTTCATAATCAGAGGAAGGTTAGAGAGCGTGACGACGGACGGCGGAAGGAGCGGGTTTTTCAACAGAGGGTTACTGAAAGAAGGCGACTTTTGCGGCGAAGAGCTTCTGACATGGGCCCTCGACCCTAAGGCGGCTGCGAACCTGCCTTCCTCGACGAGAACGGTAAAGGCTCTGACTGAAGTGGAAGCTTTCGCTCTGGAAGCCGAAGAACTGAAATTCGTGGCCAGTCAGTTCAGGCGGCTCCACAGTCGGCAGGTTCAACACACGTTCAGGTTCTACTCTCAGCAGTTCAGGACATGGGCCGCTTGCTTCATCCAAGCGGCTTGGCGTCGGCATTTAAGAAGGAAAAACGCCGAACTGAGGCGGATGGAAGAGGATGAAGAAGAAGAAGAAGAAGAAGGTGATGAAGGAATCGAGTATGAAGAGTTAGATGAGTATGATGATGATGATAATAGGCGAGTGATTTCGAGGGCTGATAGTTCGGTCGGAACGTCTTCTAGGTTACGTTCTACGATATTCGCTTCGAGATTCGCTGCTAATGCGTTGAAAGGGCATAGATTGAGGAGTTTTGAGAGCTCGAGGAGCTTGATGAAGTTGCAGAAACCTCCTGAGCCTGATTTTGATGCTCCCGAAAACGAGTAATCGTCCGAAAACGTTTTTTTTACTTAGCTTTTTTTCCTTCTGTATAAGCTAAACTGCGAGTTTAACATAGGATACATACATACATATATATAACTATATGTATAGGTTCTTGTTCATTACCAAAAATCTCAGAACAAAGATGAACACTAACTAAAGAAAAATCAGATTTCCGAAACTAAAAACATGTTAACACCCTCTTGGTTTTCCATCTCTATATGTACAAAAAATAGTTAAACTTCATTTGATCGATCATTCCATCTCATATATCACGAGGATCGACGAAAATCACGGGCGAGGAGGAAGATCTCGATCGAATCCAATCAGAGGTTTCGGGTCCATCCGCCGAGAGTTTCTTGAGGCACCAAAGATCCTCGGCCCAAGAAAGGCGTCTCCAGTGAGGGACCACGGCCGCAACGGGGTCAGACGGACTCAGCTCCGTGACCACCGCACCACAACCTCCGTCGAATCTCCCCAAGTTATGCACAAATTTACACAATCCCTTCATAAGATGCGGACCGTCTTCACCTTCCATGTGTAATCCGTACATAAAATAGACCCAGAACTTGTCGAAAACGTTGGGAAAGGAAGGTAATCTCAGCCAGGGCATGCAAGAATCCAGCAATCTTGAACCGGAGCAGCACGCGTGCATTAACCTCGAAACCCCCTTCATTTGCAGCTTGAACACTTCCTCGGTGCTCCACACGCTTAATATCGCGAAACTCGACGGAAAGTCTCCATCTGTTTCGTCTGGTTTGGTCCGAGGTTTTCTCGGCACGGCCATGAACGTTCCCAGGCTGCTGCGGCTGGCTAATACCGAGCCGATATCGAGAGGGAAGAAATCTGAGTTCTTAAAAACTCTGGAATAGATGGACTCGGAGCTTTTGGGGGTTAACCGGATGATGGAGATGTCAGAACCGACCGGTTTGATGTGGGCGTGAACCGGTTGGACCAGCATGGTGGGTGTGCGGAACTTGGTGTATGAACATTTCTTGGTGAACAAGTTAATGGACGGTGCGTTTGTGCAGTCGGTGGCCATGTACGCGTACGTCGCGCCCTGTCTCTTGAACCATTCTTCAAGCGCTTGCACCAGTTTTGTCCCTACGCCCAAGTTCCTGCTCGAATCAAATTAAAAACGGGGTTTTCATTTAATTATTGTGATTAGATTAATTATGGAGTAATCAAGAGGGTTTTGCGTTGAAATCTTAATTTAAAACAGGATTTAAGATTGTGATTATGGGATGATTAGCTGGGGCGGAGACAGGTGTCAAGTAAGGGGCTGCTTTTGTCTTCCTCCCTAACTGAATCTAGAAAGCTTTTAACTTTGTTTATAATCTCTTCTTTATTCATTGGAATTTAATTCGAATCCCTAAAAGGTTAATTCGAAGAAAAACTGCGTTGTTGCGTTGAAGTTAAGTACATTCATATCTATAATCGAATCCCGATATGTTTTTTTGTTTGAAAATATTCGTTCGAAAATAAATGGATATAAAAATATTGTTTTTTATTTAATATATCGGGACGATAAAGAAACGAGTACACATGGAACGTACGACAAAATAAGCGAAATTAAATTAAATTAAATTATTTTTAAAAAAAAACAAAGGGAAAACAACAGTTTCAAGAAAACGAAAAGCGAGAATTTCTTGTTGAGACCAGACCAGTTCGGTTCGAAATCCAAACGTAAACTAAAACCTTGTGAACATTTGTCTTGTCACGTTTATCTTTCCGTATCGATCATTTGATAACGGTAGTCCAAATCATTCGTCCAGATCATTAATTATTTTGGAAAAATATATATTAAAAAATCACAAATATACATATATATATATATATCGCTGATATATATAACAAGAATTACCTGTGTAAAGGTGAGACTCTAAGTCCAAGAACATAAGCAAGCTTAACGTAATCTGAGTCTCCTCTCGTAACAGTTTTGACACAGCCTCTTACAACTCCCACAACCTCTCTTCCTTCTCCGTACTCTGCAACCTGTTTCATCACATTTAAAATCCCATTCACAAAAATATTTAATTTTTTTAATTAACCCTTAAATGCAAAACATGTGATGCGTAAAAAAAAACACAAATGATATGATCATATAGTTCTTGTATATACACACATTATTATGTATGTGTGTGGTTGATGATGAATTCGATCAGTACCAGCATGACATGAGAAGGAAAATGGCGGACGCGGCGAAGAGGATCTCCCAAGAGGTCGGAGACCATTGTCGGCTTGCCACGTGGACCCGTCTCATCGCACTTCGTCTCCATCTCTTCCACGGCGGTTTTGTCGGAATCCTCGTCGTATTCTCTCACCACCACCGCCGCTGCACCGACGGAGACGGCGGCTGCTATTCTTCTCGACATGTTTTCCGGTGCAAATTATATGAAACTCGGTGTGTTATTTTTTTTTCCTTTCTAAAATAAAAAATGGAAATTTTTTTGTAATGGGGTTTTCTTTGGGGGTTTATGTTTGGGTTTTAATTTCGTGATGTCATGTAGATGAGGGTATATATAGAGACGGCTATGAAAGTGGTTGTGCTGACGAGGCAGCTTTGCAAAGTTTATGGACCTTTTTTCGATTTTTAAATTAAAAGAAAAGTGGAATATATTTTTATAAAAAAAAGAAGAAAAATATATATTATAATCTCATCACATTCTCTCCATGACTTAACCCTTTCGGATTATAGGAAGCTTCTCCAATTGAAACTTTAGGATATGATATGTTGGGATATCCATTTATGCGCTATTTTCGTTTTAATGTAAAATGGTTTTGTTCATAATCTTCAAAAAAAAATGGTGGAGAATTTGATTTTCAATTTTATATAGATAATTATTTGCTAACTTGAAAAAAAAACACCTTTTTATTATCTAAACTGGATTTACGATTTTCAGTGTTGGACATGGACATATGTACCTTTTATTTACACATAATATGTCTAGATATATTTAAATCGTGATTATGGATATATATTTTTATAATGACTTTCATGATGGCATATATTATATGATAACATTACCATATAAAATATTAACATGGAATTCATTTGGACGGATATATGTTCCGGATTGTGTGATTTGTTCCACGGGTAGGGAGTGCAAATGTGGACAATTATTGTGTGTTAAGGCACACAAACAAACCATATAATTAAGTGTTTAATCAGGTGATTATGGAGATAATGACCATGGACATTGCAAAAGGGGCGGCAAAAGCTTTACAGCAAATAAAGCTTACGGAAAAAAAAAATCAAAAGTATATTATGAAATGTATTAGTGCATGTGGCGGCGGTTCTTTACGCTAAAAATAATCAAGTGTTATTTAATGGTCCCCATGCTAATTAAGATGCACCCATTCTCTCCGGGGGTTGCTTGTGCATTTTCGTTATATTTGGACGGCAAGATTTCTAGTGGATATTAATTAGATTCTCTATAATTAGGGACGTTTACCGATTTTAAAACATAATTAGACGTTACATCGTTTTTGTTATGATTTTTATGCCGCTATAGCCTATAAAATTTGCATAATTTATAGCCTTTTCATTTCGATGATAATCAGTAAATATTTAAAAGGCTATATATCAACATGGGTTAGTCAAACCGGAAAATTCCCATTAGGTTACTCGTTCCCGAACCTTGGTCGAATATTAAAGATTAGCAAATCTTTCATAATTAGGATATTAATGATCATTTGCGGGTGTGGACGAAATCTCTTGTACATATTGGAAGAAAAATGAAAGCGATATCAAACAAATTTCCGAGAAACAATTTTCTTAAATACGAGGAAAAAAATAAAAAAAAAATGCAATACAAACCCTAGTGAAATCAAAATAAAAAGACTCAAGCTAAACCAATCCAAATTAAATTAAATCGGCATAACCAATTGCATGTTCTAGTGGAATTAAATATCTAATTAACGACAAAGAGCCCCAAAAAACAAAATATGAGATTAGACTATAGGTTTCGCTATGCATCGTGTGTATATATATATATATACACACACATACATAAACTACAACTTTTTTTTTTGGTATAGTGAAAATCACAGATCGAGAGGGTTCATATAATTGAGAAGTTACTGTGAGAAAAAATGTTTTTGGCGGAACATTAGAAGATACGTGAGAAAGCATAGACAAAGAGACAAAACGCATCAGACCAGAAAGATCTAATTAGGGAAATATTGTTCTCGATTTCATTGCTTTCTTGGACCCTTCCCATTGGTTCGTGTCCGCTTTACATTGTCCGGAGATAGATTTGTCGTCACAGAACTACACGACACAAATCTCGGAACATCGAATCGACACTGGCCACCTATGTTACGTCTTTTCCGATGTTCCCATGGAATTCGCGAAATTAGGGTATTTAATTGTATACAGTTACAAAATGTTATAACCGAAAAAAAAAAAATCTACATGCATTGGACAATTTAAATAAATTTAATCACTTAAACAGAAGGGTCAAATTCGAAAGGGAAAAAAAAAATAAAACCGAAGTAAAGCGGATAAATGGCAATACCAAATTATTAACCGGCTTTTTTTATATATAGATTACCAAATCAAGATAGTTTGTGATAAACTTGTCAACTAACTTTGAATTTGAACATATAATTAGTATAGAAATTCTACGGGGGGAATATTATGATCAAATTTCATGCGTGGGAAAGGGATACTATAACAACTAATGTAGACATTTTGTAAATCGGGGAATTGCTATATAGATGATAGATAGTGAAGGGGAAATAATAAAAATAAAAAATAAATAAATATAAGAGAGAGAGAGAGAGATAAGGATGCCTTGTTGGCATCTCTCTCTTAATGTGGCTAGAGAGACGGTGCGACTTTCCGCTTTTCCGTCTTATGTTTTTTTTCCTGTTACTGATATATATAATTAAGTACGCTAATTACGGGCTTAATTAAACCATACGGTCGACATGTTTTTCTTTATTTTCTAAAATTGGGTAATTAATGAAGAACATAATTTCCATTAGATGATATGGTCTGTGATGCGGTTTCAATCCTCGGATAACCTTAATTATTCCTCTATATACAAGTCGCATGTTCACATTTGAAACACGGCGTCTTAATTTTGACTAATTACATCACAACAAATTATCATGCATGGATCGCTAGTTAACTTGTTTAGCTGCATATATATATATATATATATATATATATATGGTTAATACTAGAGATAAATATAAAACGTAATAACCCTTTATAATACAAATTTGAACTGCAAAAGAATATGCCTATAATGATATATAAAAGTGTCGTTAAATTAAGACCATAGGAAACAAATTTATATTCGATCCACCGTCCATAACAAACTAATCACACACACACACACATATATATATATATGGCAGTCCATTTGAATGTTTTATGAAAACTCAATATAGATCCAAAAAATTTAACCCATGGAAATATTTTACATCAAACCGATTCAAAATCTTTAAAATTTTGAGAAGTTCTAAAGTTTTTGTTCTTTGGCGCTCGAGAAATTGTAATTTTTGTACACTACAAAATATAATTAAAGTGACCTACCGAATTGCCAAATATCAATATTTTTATTTTGTGGGGAGTTTCAAAATCGACAACGTGTGAGACTGACATAATAACATCGTTGTCAAAGCTGTGTGCACTGGTCGTGGTTTTGTTTGAAAGGGACTCACCAAAACTCGGTCCCAAAATAAATTAAATCTGCATGTGACGTTAAAATGATACGTGTATATGATATGATATATATTCCCATATGTTTGCATTTTAATGGTTCACGCATGTTATTCCCAAAGAAAATTCTATTTTATATATAGAGACTTTTGTGTACTTGAAAACAATTCGCACATCTCCGTTGTATAATTACACGATCCTTATCATTCGGGATTAGTCTAATTAACACGGTCCACTCTTTATTAAGACTTTTACGTATGATTATTGTATGGATAGGTTCGAATTTTCTCGTTATAAAACAAATTATATCTCTCGATGTAAAATAGTTTATACATATTTTGGAGTATGATTCGTATGATAATGGTTATGGTTTAATTTGGGGGTGTATGAAATGTATTTATTCATGACCCATCAAATAATAAAACCTAGATTTCCTTTTTGGCATCCATATTAAATCTAGATTTAGTTTGTAAAAAAGCTAAGTTTATTTCTAAATACCATATGATTTCCACGTTATAAAATTGAACGTATAGCTTAGCCTTTTACCATTAAGTCAACCAAATAAAATGTACGGAATTCGATTCTCACCATAGTTTATATGCATCCATAATTATATATATCCACATCGAGAATGTTTTATAGCTGTAGATGCATCATGCATGCGAACCACCTACATAAACTACATTCAAATACGTAAGAGAATCTTGGAAAATGTAGATTTTTAGTTACATTGACAATGGTTAACGAGTGTTATGACTTTTTTCTTTGTTTAGATTTGTATAAAATGATCACTTCTCATAAAATAACGATTTTTTTGTTATTTGAAATTTCTAAATATGTTTTTTATATATCTGTAACGAAAGAAATTCTCAAATCATTTCCTATCAAATTGATATTAATTATATCGAAGTCAAGATTATATGGCTCCACTATTTAAAGAGAAACATTTACCTAGATTTTTTCTCGAAATGTAATTGACACGAATTTTGATAAATTTACGGATTATAAAAAAATTAGTTACATCGAGTCCTTTTTTTTGGTATGAACCAAATGTTCGGTAAACTTTCGGATTATAAAAAAAAAAAATTCACCGTACAAAATACCCTTTTACATTGAGATTGTGGGGGAGGTAAAAATGCATGGACCTTTGACCATATTTAATTTATATAATTTTTTACTGTTACGTTTTAAAAAACTATTTTTTAAAAGTAATATCTCTAAAATAGAAAAAAGAAAACCTCTAGAAAATTAATCTATATGCTAGCTTTGCTGATGTAACATATTCTAGTTCACCATCCACATAGTGATTAGATTACATGATATCTCCGGGTATCATATCTTTTTTAAATAAAAAAGATAATGATGTTAAGCATATTATGCAACTCGGCTTTTTAAAATAAAAAAATAAAAGTTTAATTAGCGGTTAATCCCTAGTCTTAGTGGGCTTATGGTAATTTTAAAATCCCAACGAAAAGGGGGCTTGGACTCATTATTGTTAAAATACTCTATTCAAATGGAATATATAATTATTAAAAAATTTCACATTCAAGAATCGAAAGGTTGAAATGGAGAAAAATCATTGGGCTGTCTAATCTTTTTAAAATTTTCCTTAATCCTTGTTTATTATACGTGTTAAGGTGAAAGAATGTCCATGAGAATATTATTCACTGGGTTTATTCTCCTCATTATATATATATATATATATATCGTAATCTGAGTCTCCTCTCGTAACAGTTTTGACACAGCCTCTTACAACTCCCACAACCTCTCTTCCTTCTCCGTACTCTGCAACCTGTTTCATCACATTTAAAATCCCATTCACAAAAATATTTAATTTTTTTAATTAACCCTTAAATGCAAAACATGTGATGCGTAAAAAAAAACACAAATGATATGATCATATAGTTCTTGTATATACACACATTATTATGTATGTGTGTGGTTGATGATGAATTCGATCAGTACCAGCATGACATGAGAAGGAAAATGGCGGACGCGGCGAAGAGGATCTCCCAAGAGGTCGGAGACCATTGTCGGCTTGCCACGTGGACCCGTCTCATCGCACTTCGTCTCCATCTCTTCCACGGCGGTTTTGTCGGAATCCTCGTCGTATTCTCTCACCCCCACCGCCGCTCCCATATATATATATATATATATATATATATATTATTCTGTAAATTTATTAATGTAGGCGTTAAAATAACAAGTACGGGTTAGCTGATGGTTTAATAATTAATTATTATATAATTGATGATACCGTATCAAATCACGCATATCGAATTATCTTGGTTCGTTACAATATTCTATTATATTATTCTGATATTATGTTAATCTTATTATCATCGCTAATTATTTCTCAAATGTCTTGGGCCACAAACTGTCCAGATCCATTAGAGACCCAATCTTGGTTTTGAACTTGGATTTTCTCGGGAAAATCATCAAACAGGAAAATCGAGGAAAATAAAAACCGAATCGGAGAAAGCAGAGAGAGAAAGATCGCCGTAGGACAGAGATGGGGGTCGTGGCGGGGATCGGAGTGCTTCTGCCGTTTCCGTTCTATTGGTGGCTATGGACGAATCCTCAGGCATGGGTGAATCTCTGCGGCAAAGGAAGGGACCCTTCGAAGGTGATGGCGCGTGTATCTCACGCCCTCAAGTTGGCTCAGCTCCTCTCGCTCTTCTCCGTCGCATCTCTCTCTTGGCCTCCGCCCTTCTATTTCTGGCCTCTCATGGGATTCGGACAGTTTCTCAACTTCAGGTCTCGTCTCTATCTCTCTCTTGTGTTTCTATATTGAGGGCGTTTTGGGTTGATACGATTGATTGGAGCATGCTGGGTTCTAGATGAGTTCGATCGTGGATTCGTGTAGATTGCTTGTTTGAATGGGTGAGAGTTGTGGAAATGAGATTCATTTAGTGCTGTCTGAACGCCACTACTTGGTGATCTAATCTGATGGGATCGTGGAAATCATTGTAAATGCGCAGTCTTTTAATCGAAATGTACGGACTTTATATGGTTGCTAGAAAGTTCCCACCACTGATGCAATGTCCATTTTGTGGGTTTTGTTCTGCACCAAATCCTGGATATGGACTGGTGCTTCTCTCAAAGGAAAAAGAGTGAAAACTTGAATGCTCAACTGTGGAAAAATATGGTTTCCTTTTTTGTTTCCATTGTCCGGTTAACTTGTAGCCTCATTCTAATGGTTGAGCATTCAAGAATCGCTTGCTTCTACGATCTTGATGGAGCTGTTTATCGATAAGTACACCGCTGGCTTGATCTTGCAGGGTATATCAGTTGCTAGGGGAGTCTGGAACTTACTACGGTGTGCGTTTCGGGAAGAACATCCCGTGGGTGACGGAGTTCCCGTTTGGAGTCATAAGAGACCCACAGTACGTCGGGAGTATAATGTCGCTCTTGGCATGCCTTCCCTTCGTACCTTTCCAGTACATCTTCCTATGGTGTCTCGGCTATGGTTTCATGATGCGCGTGGAGGCAGACGAGGATCAGAACAATCGGGCCAAACCGCTTTCTTGACGGTTGAACGTCTTCTTTTCCCTGCAAAAACACACCCGGAAAGAGTTATTCCTGTTGCTCCTTGCTAGGTTGTGCGCTGAGTTCAAAATCTCTACGCTCATTTATTGCGGCATCGGAACTAAGATTGTTTACCAAAACATTTGATTTTAGATTTTATCAGAGAAAAAGAAATGCCGGAACCGGGGAATGAGTTGGAGATATGGTTATTTAATATCAATAACGTGCTCATGCTAAACAATTAAACCAAAAGGATAGGAAAATTAATCTTAGATCTTGTCACGCCGAACATATTAAAACAAGGTCTCCCGTGAATAATATAAAGGTCACGGATTGGTTAGCGTTGTGATTCATCATATCATAGTGAGAGATGGAAGGTTGCCGCAGTTTCGGAGGAAACGTCTCCTGCTTAAGGATTCGTAGGAATATGCTCGAGGGGAGGCGGGAGGATGTGGTAGACAGGATACAGGGAGATGACGCTCGGAGTTTTGGGCGACTGGTTCCCCTTCCCGCGGTCAGTGACTGGATTTTACGAGCGGGGGCTGCCTTGGACGAAGCCGATGCTCTGCTTCTTCGCATCAAAGGCTCCGAAAGCTTATTCTCGGAATGTCGTTATGGAAAGAAGGTAGTCAATATGCATAAAGAGTTCGACAAACTCTTCGAGGAAGGAAGGTTCAAGGAGGTGACCAGCAAACTCCCGGTTCAGCCTCTACCGAGCGGACCCAAAATATGATAATAAGCAAGGGCATTACTTTTATTATACGGCATTTAATAGTTCAGCAAAATTCCCATTCCAATTGTAACTTGTTTACGTACTTACGGCCACTGTATGAGATTCGGTCTTTGCTTCTTGTCGCTTAACTTGCAGGCTGTTATGTGCTTCTAAAGCCCATACGTTTGGGCATATGAGATTGCTTGTTTGAATGCGTGAGAGTTGTGGAAATGAGATTCATTTAGTGCTGTCTGAACGCCACTACTTAGTGATCTAATCTGATTTGGTCATGGAAATCATTGTTCTGCACCAAATGCAATGTCCATTTTCTAGGCTTTGCTCTGCACCAAAACCTGGATATGGACAGATGCTTCTCTCGAAGGAAAAAGAGTGAAAAACTTGAATGCTCAACTTTGGAAAATATGGTTTTCTTTTTTGTTTCCATTGTCCGGTTAACTTGTAGCCTCATTCTAATGGTTGAGCATTCAAGAATCGCTTGCTCTTATGCCAAGTGAAGATCAAATGGTTTAGTTTCTCGATCTTGATGGAGCTATTTATCGATAAGTATACCGCTGGCTTGATCTTGCAGGGTATATCAGCTGCTAGGGGAGTCTGGAACTTACTACGGTGTGCGTTTCGGGAAGAACATCCCGTGGGTGACGGAGTTCCCGTTTGGAGTCATAAGAGATCCACAGTATGTCGGGAGTATAATGTCGCTCTTGGCATGCCTTCCCTTCGTACCTTTCCAGTACATCTTCCTATGGTGTCTTGGCTATGGTTTCGTGATGCGCGTGGAGGCAGACGAGGATCCGAACACTCGGGCCAAACCGCTTTCTTGACTAATAAACATCTTTGCTTTCTTGTAACCCCGGGGTTAGAAGAGTGTATAAAACTGGATGAGAGGGCGAAGCTACTCGACAACGTTTCGCCTCCTAAGGTGATTTGGATGATTCCAGTTTCCGTATCTTTTTTAATCACCAAAGTAATTCGACTCCGATTTTCATTCCATCCTACATGAATGATTACGAGAAAGGACTTTCTGGGGTTTGTAGGTAGTAGTTGTGTCTTCCGTTTGGTCTTCATTTTCTTGGAAGGACAAATGCTTCTGGTCAGCCTAAAAGGTTAGAAAATGAAACTTGTATCTCGAGAAAATGCCAAAGCCGCTGTGGAGAAATCGCCACTCCATACCCATTTGGGATCGGGAAGGTCTGCTACGAAATCGTATGTCCGTAATAGCACCTCCGGCTCCAGGAAGCTTGTCCCGTACCTTCCTAGGATAAACAAGGAAGTACTGACCAGTACGGGTCAATTTACATCAGCACTCCGGTAAGGTCTTTGGGTTTCTTTCTTACAGGGAGTACTCGCCTCGTAGCGGTTGGTTGCAACATTAGTCCGGAACACCTTCCTGTACATTCAATAGAAGTTTTTGTTGTAAAATCACCATTTACCAAAAAAAAAAAAAGAGTTTTTGTTGTATTATTTAAAAAGTGTTATGAATTACCGATCATATCTTTTTAGAGTTACCTAGTCATCTTGAATTTAAAGATTAACAACCGTTAAATTGATATTATTCTAAAAGATATATTTAAATTTCAGTTTTACATTGGTTCAAAATTTAAATGGGAAAACTGTTTTTTTTTTGTTAAAACAATTCTCTATTCATCTCTCACTTTCATTCATACCAAAAATTTTAATTCTATTGATCAATAAAATATATTTAAATTTTAGTTTTACATTGCGTTTTCATGTTTAACATCAGATATTTGATCAATAAGATGAAATTTCTTTGCTTTTTAGTAGAAAATCGATATTGGTAATATTGATCAACTGAGCGTTGACATGATATTATATCTAAAATACCATCCATTTGCCATTTTTTTACTTCAACAAATTCTCTTATCTACCCAAAGTTTAATGATTTCTCATCACCCAAAGTTTAATGATTCTCTCGACCCAAATAACCAATTGAAGAAAGAAATGGTAGAATGTCTAAAAAAAATAACATTTTTCCATCAACCAACTCTCTTTTTCTTCTTGTTATCTCTACCTAATCATACATTTAGGGGGAGAATAGTCATACATTTACAATTAAAAATTTATATATTTATTTTCAAATTTAAAAAATTCATTTTTTTGTGATATTCTCTATATTTATTGTTTTTTTCACAACCAAGTTCTCTCAAATAAAATGAAGTTTATGTATCAAGTTATTTGTATTCTTGAAATGATTATATCAAAACCCTTCCGTCTCAAATTTATTTATTTCATTTGATTTATAAGTAAATTTGTGCATTTTTGGAACATATTACAAACGTAGAAAACTTAATTATTTATAATAAATACTACATTTTATTACGAGGCGAGTAATATCATTTCTAATGAAGATTTTCAAGTGGTGACTACTCCAACCCTTTTTTAGTGTTTCTATACCAATAGCTGATATGATGGGTAGAAATAATCTTCTTAATCATATATGTGACAATCTTACCGTCGTAGTCATTAAGATAATATTTTCGCAATATATAGTTTAGGTGGAGTAGAGAAAACCACGTTTTTTAATTAAGCACATCAAACTCATGTTCGAAGGACAGATAAGTGATGTGTTTAACATTGCCATTTGGAACGATTTGTCTGATTATGTTCTTGTTCAAGAAGTAACCGGAGAGTGATTGTTCTTGGATAATGAGGAATGCCAACGAATGATTGGACAACTTGGAATGAAGATCACTTCAAGATTGATTATAGTAGTGTTGATAAATGGGTAACTTAAAATATCCCATTGTTATATTAGTTGTGCGTGATATATGTACACTAAGCAAAAAAAATGTTCATTAAAAACGTTTACAAAATTTCATGAATCAATTATAAAATATAAGTTGTTATGAAATATTACGGAATTTAATCTTATAAAGACTATGTTAATATGAGACGAAAAATTTCAAATTTTGTATATTTTATATTAAAATTATATATTCATATATTTATTTTTTAAATTTAAAAAACTCATATTTTTTACGATATTCCCTATATTTATTGACTTTTTTCATAACCAAAGTTCTCTAAAATAAAATGAAGTTTATGTGTCTAAGTTCTTTACATTATTCAAATGATCTTCTCAAAACCTTTTTATCTCAAATCTATTATTTTCATTTGATCTATAAGTAAACTCGTACATTTTTGGAACATATTGTAAACATATAAAACTTAACCATTTTATAGTAAAGACTACATTTTATAATGTAGTGAGTAACCTCATTTCTAATGAAGATTTTTAAGTGGTGACTATTTCAAGCCCTTTTCTAATATTTTCGTAACAATAGTTGATACGTTGGATAGATAGTCTTCTTAATCATGCATGTGATAAGTTTACAATCGTTGAGGATAGCATTTCGCGGTATATAGTTTGGATGGAGTAAAGAAAACCGAGTTTCTTTATTAAACACATCAAATTTATGTTGGAAGAACAGATAGATGATGTGTTTCACATTGCCATTTGGACTGATTTATCTGATGATGTTCCTGTTCAAGAAGTAATCGGAGAGCGGTTGAGCTTACATATGCGCGGGGATAACATATTCGGGATATATGGGCTTGGTGGAGTAGAGAAATCTGAAATTCTCAAACACATCAAACTGATGTACGAAGAACAGTTACGTGATGTGTTTGACATGGTGATTTGGGCTGATTTGTCTGACAGTGTCCCTCTTCAAGAAATCATCGGAGCGCGCCTATGCTTGGACAACAAGGAATGTCACTGTCGATTGGCAAGACAAAGACAGAAATCATATACAATTCAGAACCTCAAACGAACCAGATCACTATTCACTATGGGAGGATGTGTATCGTTTCAGTTGTCTTGCAGAAACCATTTATGCAACCTCAAAAAGAATGTGAAGACTTTACAGTGTTCAGCCAACCAGCTCAAATCAAAGAAGGACGATGTGGTAGCTGTCGTGGAGACAGAGGAGAGCACCAGACGTATAGTGCGGCTTGCTGACGTCCAGCGCTGGATTTTGGATGTGAAGACAATCTTGTACTTTGTTGATAATTTACTATAGGTGAGTGAGGAACAAATCCAGCGATCAAAGTCATTGTGTTGCTGCCTAAGCTGGAAGTCAACATATCCTTATGCCAGACATGTAGCCTACTTGTGCGAAGAGGTGAGAATACACATTTCTGGTGGAGTTTACCAAGAAGTAGCTAAGCCAGACCCCCCTTTTCGTCTTTTCACACCAGTAGCGGACATGGTGGGTAAGGAGAGCCTACTTCAACATGTGTTTAAAAAGATAACCATGCACGGTGGTAACATAATCGGATATACAGGTCTGGTGGAGTAGGAAAAACCGAGATTCTCAAACACATCAAACTGATGTTTGAAGAACTCTTATGCACGATATATGCACAATATACAAAGAATAAAAATGATCATAAAAAACATTTACAAAATTGAATTGTGCACGATGTCAATTATAAAATATAAGTAGTTATGAAATATTACATAATTTAGTTTTATAAATACTATGTTAATATGAGACGAAAGATTATATTATTTTCAATACATAAAATATAAATATCGTAAATTACTGGAGGTGAGTGAGGAACAAATCCAGCGATCAAAGTCATTATGTTGCTGCCTAAGCTGGAAGTCAACATGTCCTTATGCCAGACATGTAGTCCACTTGTGCGAAGAGGTGAGAATACTCATTTCTGGTGGAGTTTACTAAGAAGTAGCTAAGCCAGACCCCCCTTTTCGTCTTTTCACACCAGTAGCGGACATGGTGGGTAGGGAGAACCTACTTCAACATGTGTTTAAAAAGATAACCATGTACGGTGATAACATAATCGGATATACAGGTCTGGTGGAGTAGGAAAAACCGAGATTCTCAAGCACATCAATCTGATGTTTGAAGAACTCTTATGCACGATATATGCACAATTTACAAAGAATAAAAATGATCATAAAAAAACGTCTACAAAATTGAATTGTGCACGATGTCAATTATAAAATATAAGTAGTTATGAAATATTACAAAATTTAGTTTTATAAATACTATGTTAATATGAGACGAAAGATTATATTATTTTCGATACATAAAATATAAATATCGTAAATTACTGGAGGTGAGTGAGGAACAAATCCATCGATCAAAGTCATTGTGTTGCTGCCTAAGCTGGAAGTCAACATGTCCTTATGGCAGACATGTAGTCCACTTGTGCGAAGAGGTGAGAATACTCATTTCTGGTGGAGTTTACCAAGAAGTAGCTAAGCCAGACCCCCTTTTCGTCTTTTCACACCAGTAGCGGACATGGTGGGTAGGGAGAGCCTACTTCAACATGTGTTTAAAAAGATAACCATGGATGATGATAACATAATCGGATCTACAGGTCTGGTGGAGTAGGAAAAACCGAGATTCTCAAGCACATCAAACTGATGTTTGAAGAACTCTTATGCACGATATATGCACAATTTACAAAGAATAAAAATGATCATAAAAAACGTCTACAAAATTGAATTGTACACGATGTCAATTATAAAATATAAGTAGTTATGAAATATTACAGAATTTAGTTTTATAAATACTATGTTAATATGAGATGAAAGATTATATTATTTTCAATACATAAAATATAAATATCGTAAATTTCAGACTTTTATATTATTACAAATGTAAGGGATTGATTTGGCAAAATCATACTTCTAAAGCTTATCAAAAACTAAAAATTTCAGTTTTTTATTGTGATCAAATATATAAAACTATTTCGTTTCCATTTTTTTTGAACGTGTATATCTCACCTTACAAATTAAATATCGTGTTAATCCGAAAAGAAAGATATATTATTTTCAATATATAACCGAAAGTCTTTAACAAAAAATATATAATTTGTAAATATTAAAAATTTCATGCTTTTATATTTAGATATGATGTATTTGTTATTATTTAAATCAACATTAATAATAGTATGATTATATTTTTTTATTATTTAAGTCAACATTTTTTTTTCCAATTATGATTTCTATCCCACCTCTCCCTTTGTTTTAGGATTAACTTATTGAACTAAATATGAGACTCGACAATGGCAAGTCCTCATACAAAAACGCAGCTGAGCTATTACGAATTTACGATAGGGAAATTAAGTTTTCAACAAAAATCATGTAGACATTTAATTTTCGATTTGGTCATGCCATACATAATAAAAAAGCCTAGTTACTAATGATTTTGCGTGCTGTTATAAAATGAATCAAGCATATCAAAAATTAAAAATTTCAATTTTTTGAACTTGTTTGTCCCACTTTACTAATTTAAATATCATATTAATACGAAAAAGAAAGATATATTATCTCTATTATATAACTGAAATACTAAAATTTTCATGTTTTTATATTTAGATATGATCAATTTTTTGTTATTTAAATCAACATTAATAACTGGTTCTATTTTTTTTTTATTTAATTCAATATTTTTTTTTTATTATGATTTTTATCCAAACTCCCCCTCTATTTTAGGATTAATTTATTGAACTAAATATAACAGCAAATCTTCGAACAAAAAACGCAGTTGAGCTATTACTACCATTGATGCTCCACGACTTGGATTTAGAACAATATCAGGTTTATGACAACTAGAACCATAAATTGATATTAGGGTGATGTTGTCGGTTCCTCGATTGACGTGAGTTGCATAAAATTTGACCGAAGTTAGATTTTACAACTTCACATTAGGTTGTATTACAAAACATAAATGATTGGGCAAGTTTAAGAACAATCGGGTTTTAAATTCAACAATCATATTCATCATATAATTATGCGTATATTTGCCAATCTTGGAATCAAAACTTAGAAATATGCATGATATGCGGACTATATAACTTCTAAGCCAACGTTTAGGATTCTGTATGTTCCCTAAACCAATAAATGCCCAAACTTCTAAAGATGGCATCATTTTATTTCAGTTGGAGCAAAAATGCCCAAAAGGCCCATTTCAGTCCTTGGCCCAGAAGCTAAAACGACGCCGATCTCCGAAGGCCATACAGATAAAACCCTATATAATTTTTTTTTTTAAATTATAAAATACAAAATCTGATTTTTTTTTATATATGTATTAACCGACCGATCCGATCCGACCGGTCCAACAAATGCCCAAATTTCTAAAGATTGGCATCATTTTATTTCATTTGGAGCAAAATTGCCCAAAAGGCCCATTTCAGTCCTTGGCCGTACAGACAAAACGAAGCCCAAACTAAGTCTCGTGACGTTTGAGTCACGGTACGGTACGTTAAGTATGATCCCGGTATGCATATTGTGGCTTTGGTATGGTATGGTACGGTACCGGTTTCAGAAATTTGTTTTGCAAACCGGAAATTGTCTTACGGTATACCGATGGTTAGGTGGTTTTTTTTTTTTCTGGGCAAAAGCGTGAATCAAATGCATCTTCACCAAACTCAAATTGAAGCTGTGAAGAGGCACCGCAACTAATTTCCGTCATGTGGGGGCTGTCGTGTCTCGTTGCTCAACACATGATCTCTCTCTCAATTATTAATGCTCTGTTTTCTGTTTTGCCAATCTTTTTTATACGCTCTGCTTTTATTTTTATTTTATTTTATTTTCTTGGGGTATTATCTATATATTCAGATATGCATCGTGTCGTTTGTCTGTTCATGTTCTTCTACGGTTTGATCTTTTCACAAATAATAGACTGCATGATGGAGGATTTGGTTGAATACCAAACTGATGTTTTATTACCTTCGCCAATTTGTAAAACATATTTGTTAATTCTGATTTTGGCATGTATGTATATGTGTGTATAAATACAGAGTGATTATACAGAATTGGGAAAACGATGGATGGGTTATATATTTAATATTTATGTCGTTCGAGTTTCACGTAGAGTTGTTAAAACCATCGGATAAGTGATGTTTGATGAATATGGAAAGGGACATTGTGACGGATTTTCATTTAATAAAACGAAAATAATCTCCATGGATGAGTCGGAAATTAATTAAAAAATTAAAAATAATCTCACGTGCGGTACCAAACGACGGTCTTTGTCTGATCCCCTCTCTCTCTCCCTCCATTTGTGTTTTTTTTTTTGCATTATATTTACATTTACGTCTTCCTGTTTCTCTTTGTTCTTTTCGACCCTAACAAAAAAAAAACACCTTTGCAAGTTTTTTTTTATAACGGAAGCGGAGTTAGTATAACGTTAGGCTCTATTGTCAAAGTGTTGGGTTTCTTGGTTCAAACCCGAGAAAATGAGAATAACGGAGCTTTTGTGATTCGATTGTCCAACGGATTTTCTTTCCTATTTCCCTTCCTTTGGTTCTGAAATGGAAAAAAATTGTCTTTTTTCACCGAGAAAGTAGCAGTTTTCCCGAGAAAATGTGGACTAACACGGCACGAGTTAAAGTAAAGTGGGTGGTGGGTTCGCAGCGGTGAAGTTTCGATTTTTGAGCTTTTTTTTTTAAGCTCCTTTCTGGATTTCGTTTTTGCAGTAAGAGGCTCCGATGTTCTCCGAGTAATTTCCTTTTTCCCGAGAAATCATTGCGTATCATTTCCGACAAAACGGCACCAAAAGCAGCGGTTTCTCTGTGTAGATTCTTACTGTCGATTTCAAAAAATTTCAACTTTTTTTGTTTCTAAATATTTGGGCTCTCTCCGGATCACCCGGATTTCAAATGGGTCTGTGTCATTCGACGATAGAGAGGACGAGTGGGAAGGATTCCGGCGTTTCAAGCGCCGGAGCCACTGCGGCGGAGACGGCGGCGGAGAGGCAAGGCTCCCTCCGGTGGAGGCGGCCGAGGGATTTGAATGTCGGCGGCGAAAACGACGGGATCCATCAAGTGGTGGGTAGGTTTGTCTCCAACAGTTCCAGTGAGATTGCATGTCTTTACACACAACAGGGGAAGAAAGGAACCAACCAAGACGCCATGCTTGTCTGGGAGGTTCGTCTCTTCACTCATATTTCTCAACAAATGTGGTGATGGCACTGAATTTATCTTCTTCTCGGCGAGAAATTTCCAGTTTTTGAATTGATTATAAGCAAGAATTAGGGTTCTATTGCTTTTGTTCTTTGGATTTTGTGATTCCAGAATTTGCATTATTCTCCTAGGAAGATCAAAGCTGCTGGTTTAGAATTCCTTTTGATGTGAAGAAATGTGAATTGGCGTTTCCTCACTTGTGTATAAAGGAGACCCTATTTGGTTGGCTATGGCAATGTTCTACTCTATGTTTGATCTATATTAGCACTTCTGCCATGGTTCATCTTTGATGCCATGTTCTGTAATATGTGTATGCTAATAGGTTTTGTTTAGCATATGATTGGATCATTGGATTTTTGTTATTCTACTGCTTAGATTTGTGCATTTTGATAGCCTATACTGATCTACCCGAACCAGACAGCTTGGAACTCGAGGTTCTTTTGTTGTAAAAGTCATCTGGTTCCTCAAATTTCATACTTTCTCATGTTTCTTTATCCTTTAGTGCCAGTGACTTGTTTAGAGACTAAGTCGAAAATCTTCCATGCCAGAATTTCTGTTCAAGAAACGATACCGTGTTCTGTGGTGTATTTGATGGGCACGGGCCATTTGGTCATATGGTTGCCAAGAAAGTCCGAGATACGCTACCCTTTATACTGTCAACTCATTGGAAAATGAACTTAGAGTCGGAACATACCATCCTCGGGAATGGCCATGAAAAGCCATGCACAGAAGGAGGCCAGGGAAATGAGCCTATTACCATGGATGAGCAGTGGTGTGAGTTGCAGCCAGGTGATGGGGAGAGCGAAAAATTTCCCGAGATGTATCTCCCGCTTAAACATGCTTTGCTGAAGGCATGCCAGCAGATGGATAAGGAGTTAAAAATGCATCCAGCCATTGATTGTTTCTGCAGTGGATCTACTGCTGTCACTCTGATCAAGCAGGTAACTTGCTTAGGGTTTTCAATCTCTGTCTTCCTTCGTTAAATTCTTCCCAACGGGTATTCTGCAATTTCCGTCTTGTTCTTCATCAATTCTGCAATAATGGGTAGTGATGCAACATTTGCTATTTCTTCAAGATCTTTCCTGTTTCAAGATTTGGTCCCGGAGAAACTACATTTAAACTGGGGAGATACCATTCATCCTTCAGTGATTGATGAAATCATTCGAATTACGGCGTGTAGGGTAAAGATCTGGTGGTTGGAAATGTGGGTGACTCGAGAGCCGTTCTTGCAACACGAGACCAAGACAACTCTTTGATTGCTGTTCAATTGACCGTAGACTTAAAACCCGATTTGCCAAGTACATCTCTCTCCCTCTTCATCACAGTTTCATCTCTATTTCATGCCAAGTCGACTAAATCTGGTTACTTTTTTCATGTTCAGATGAAGCAGCAAGGATTCAGAAATGCAAAGGAAGAGTCTTTGCCTTGCAAGATGAGCCCGAGGTGGCGCGTGTATGGCTGCCTAACAGTGACTCACCCGGTTTGGCGATGGCCCGAGCTTTCGGGGACTTTTGTCTCAAGGATTACGGTCTAATATCGGTTCCCGATGTATATTACCGCTGCCTCGGTGAAAGAGATCAATTCGTTATTCTTGCCACTGATGGGGTACTCGTATTCTTCTTTTAATCTTGAAAAAAACGATTTGAAGTTTGAATCTTCGGGGCTAATATCATGCTGATGTAGGTATGGGATGTACTTTCGAACAAAGAAGCCGTCGATATCGTGGCTTCCGCTCCTACCCGTGCCACTGCAGCCCGAGCTGTAGTGGACACAGCTGTTCGGGCATGGAGGGTTAAATACCCGACTTCCAAGAACGACGATTGTGCGGTTGTATGCCTCTTTCTAGAAGATTCATCAACTGCAATGGAAGTTTCCCAAACCGGAAAATGCTCACACGAAGAATCTGCAGAGATTCCGACTGTAAAGAACGACGATCACGAGAAAACCGAGGCTGTTGAAACGAAAGGCGATAGTCAAGAACCTAGAACGAGCCCCGATACAGACGAGATCGTTCCAGTGATCGAGGTAAAGGAGGAGAAAATGCGGGAGAGCTGCAGGATGGAGTCGAAGAGGACGCTTGCAGAGTGCATTTCAGGAGGAGATGACGAAGAATGGTCGGCTTTGGAAGGGTTGACCAGGGTCAATAGCCTCTTGAGCATTCCGAGGTTCTTGTCTGGTGAACTGAGATCTCTTAGCTGGAGAAAATGGCTCTGAAAAACTGGCAAGGGACCTGGAGTTTGGATCATATGAATATGATCATAGAAAAATATGGGGGTTTACAGCGACTTTATGATCACATATTATATATACATGTTGGTTGTCTCATGTGCACTAAGAGAGAATATGATGTTTTTTTTTTTGTTCCTGCATTACAAATTTTGTTCCATTTCTTGCAAATACATGTTTTCTTCTACACATTTTATAAATAGTTGATATTTTGATTTTAGATTTGCAAAATCGAATTCACTAATATATATAAAAAAATTGAAATTCATGGTTTTATTTATGTAAGACAATACATAGCTTGAACTATAAATAGAAATATCGGTGATTAAAATTTGCGTGTACATTTTTATGATTTTTTTTTTTGTTTGGGTGTAAAATGACATAACTTTTACAAATTGCATATCAGGTTGAATCATAGGGTACCACCAAAAAAAAAAAAGTCATACACTACGGTCCAAAAAGAATCCAAAATAATATACTCTTTATCTAAGGTTGCTTGCAATATTACATACTCATGGAAGTGGGTGGCTCTCGTGATGGGTCCTTTTATTGTTATTTTACTTTTGTTTTTCCGAATTTATTGTTATTTTAATTTTAATTTCACTATCTTATGATTAAAAAAAGATTGCTTATATTAGAATTAATGACAGACTCTAATCAATGTGGTTTCCACCGGGCAGAACAATACATCCATCATCATTTGGCGATAATTTATGTAGTCGTCACCGTATTCAAATAAACTATATTTTCAATTTTATTTTGAGTTAAAACTAAATATTAAGGTTTTGTGAAACTGATCATTGGAAAATTGAAGGTTCAGATAAAAAAATTTTTTAAATATGTATTTTTTTTTTGTGATGGAACTGGAGGCCATGTTATAATACTCATGAGATTTAACTAATAAAGTGGTGGCAAAACAAAAAAAAAAGAGATGTACGGTTAAATTGGCTTAGAAGACAAGGCAAACTCCATTGAAGCAAAACCGAAGCCACCTTTGTCTTTAGCCACTCGTGTTCCTATTGGAACTTATTGGCAGTGGTGTATTGTCTTTGATGAGACAATGATGATCCTTTGCTTCAAAAGGAAACTCTTCCAATCTCGTCTCTGTCCTTGCTTCTTCAGTTAAATATCAAACTCGGAAACCTCATGTCTCTCTGCAACAATGGCGAACGCCACTTCGCGTTTGCTCTTCTTCCTCGTCTGCTGTTTCGCAGTCTTCTCTGTCATCTCCTCTGTCACAGACCCTCGTGATGGTTCGTTGAGTTTTGTCGTTTTGGAGCCGTGGAAGTGATTCCGATTTTCATTCTTGATTCTGATTTCTCTCTCGTGACTTTCCAGCGGCGGCTATGCGTTCTTTGATGGATCAATGGGAGAATACGCCGCCGAGCTGGAGAGAATCAGATGATCCTTGTGGTACTCCTTGGGAAGGTGTCACCTGCAACAACTCAAGAATCACTGCACTGTTAGTGTTCTTTACTCAATTCATATGCATATTTCTGCATCTGGGTCCTAACCTAGCGTGGGCGAGTGGTTGAGGTGTGGCCAATGTGCCTTCACGTCAGCGGTTCGATTCCTGAAGATGGAGAGGGTTATTCACATGGATTCCCCCGTTATTCTGGGAGATGTAGTCGGATCGAAGCTCCGGTGAACTTCCGGATTAACAAAAAAAAATAAAAAAAATTCTGCATCTGGGTGTATGTATTAGATCAGTTCCCCCCCTTTTTTTTTGGGTTTTTTGCGAGTGTTTTATACATTTTCAGGGGTCTATCTACAATGGGTCTGAAAGGAAAACTAAGCGGAGACATCGGAGGACTTACTGAACTAAGATCCTTGTCAGTCTGTTTCTTCTGAGTATCCTTAAAGTTGTCATGAAACTGTGTAATGAATATGCAGATGTGTTTGTTTCAGGGACCTGTCGTTTAATCCAGGCCTCAAAGGTTCACTTACTCCACAGTTAGGAGATCTTCAGAACCTTAATATCCTGTAAGAGAGCTCGTTTCCTCGAACTTTAGATTCTTTCCCTTGTTTTGTATCTAAACCCGTAATTTCATCTTTTCAGTATACTTGCTGGTTGCGGCTTCACTGGAAATATCCCTGAAGAACTTGGCAATCTCTCCGAGCTATCCTTCTTGTAAGATGCTTCATTTACCCTCCTCTCAACCCTGAATAAACCGATGTTTGTTTGATGGGTTTAACGCCTTTCATTCTGTTTTTCCCCCCGGTAATACGCCTTCTCAGGGCATTGAACTCGAATAACTTCAGCGGTAGAATTCCAGCCTCTCTGGGAAATCTCTCCAAGGTTTACTGGTTGGACCTTGCAGATAATCAGTTGACGGGTCCTATTCCAGTGTCTTCACCCTCGAGCCCCGGACTCGATCTCCTCTTAAAGGCGAAACACTTGTGAGTAGCGGTTATGTTTTTTGCGAATTCCATTGACACAAATTGTTTCTTTTAGCTTTCTCGAGTTCTGATCCGCTCAACGGACTTGCCAGCCATTTCAACAAGAACCAGCTTTCTGGCCCCATTCCTGCAAAGCTTTTCAGCTCTGAGATGATACTGATCCATGTGTAAGCAGCTGTTCTTGATGGTAAATAATTTTTTACCACAGTTTAAGGTTAAACAGTTACATCTGCTCTGTTTTAATGGCAGACTATTCGATGGAAATCAATTCTCCGGGAACGTACCTTCCACGTTAGGGTTTGTTCAGACTCTCGAGGTTCTGTGAGTAACAAAAAACCATCTCTTTGTCATTCATTTCATCTTCCTGACCCTTCAAGTCAGATTTCTTACGGTTATTCCTGTCCCGGGCTTGCAACAGTCGGCTCGATAGAAACATGCTGTCAGGAGAAGTCCCGGAAAATCTCGGAAACCTCACAAATATCAATGAACTGTAAGCATTTCCCCTCTAAACTAAGAATGTAACACTTCAGGATCAATCATTTAAGACATTAAATACTTCCTTAATGCGTTGGGTTTCAGGAACTTAGCTCACAACAAGTTGGTAGGAACTTTGCCGGATTTGTCAGACATGAAATCGCTGAACTACGTGTAATCTCATCATCACGTGTTCTCCACCGACTTCCGTTGTTTTCTGTTTTCTGATGAATGTGATTTTCTTTACAGAGATCTCAGCAACAACTCATTTGATCCATCAGGAGCTCCTTTCTGGTTCTCAAGCTTACCTTCATTAACCACTCTGTAAGTATAGCTCAACTTACTCGCATTCAGCATTTCCCATGAGTTTCTCGTGAAGAAACGCATAAATCGACAACTTTTTCCTCGGGATTTAGGGTGATGGAATATGGATCACTTCAAGGACCAGTTCCTCAGAAGCTCTTTGGCCTCCCACAGATTCAGCAAGTGTAAGCTATTTAGGTTTCGGATCTCAGATGAAGTTTGATAGTAACAGCAGAAACCATTATAACCCCGACATGACCCGGATGCAGGAAACTGAAAAAGAATGCTCTCAATGGAACATTGAGCTTGGGAGATACAGTCGGATCACAGCTCGAACTCGTTGATTTGCAGGACAATGACATTTCCTCGGTAACACTGAGCTCTGGATATACCAACACTTTAGTGTAAGTCATTTTCTTCTTCTGGATATACCAACCCGTTTAAACCCATCGAGCATTTTAGCTGCCTCGGGTTAATAGCTACTTCTTTTTCTGCAGCCTTATAGGAAACCCGGTCTGTTCAACAGCTCTTTCAAACACAAACTACTGTCAGGTTCAGAAGCAACAAGACAAAAGGACTTACTCGACTAATCTCGCTAACTGCGGAAGCAAATCTTGTCCGTTGGATCAGAAGGTCAGTCCTCAGAGCTGCGAATGCGCGTATCCTTACGAGGGCACGTTATATTTCAGAGGGCCAATGTTCAGAGACCTGTCCAATGTAAACACGTTCCATTCGCTCGAGATGAGCTTGTGGGTGAAACTTGGACTCACCCCTGGCTCGGTATCTCTCCAAAACCCTTTCTTCAACAATGACGACTACCTTCAGATTCAGCTTTCGCTTTTCCCGCATATGGGAAAGTATTTCAACAGAAGCGAAGTCCAGAGAATCGGATTCGACTTGAGTAACCAAACGTACAAACCTCCACCAGGGTTTGGACCTTACTATTTCATTGCATCTCCATATACTTTCCCTGGTAATATACACACATATAACTCGTAAATTTCAATACTTTTCATGACATTGAGAGCTGATTAACCGAAAACGTGTTCAGCGGAAGGTGAAGGGCATTCACTGAGCTCTCAGATGATTGTCGGGATAATAACAGGTTGCGGCGCTTTGGTTATGTGCCTTGTCGGGTTAGGTATATACGCAGTTTGGCAAAAGAGACGCGCAGAGAAAGCTATTGGCTTGAGTCGACCATTTGGTAAGTCCATGTTCAACAACCTGCACCTCAACAACTGCAGACAAAAGATAACAGGAGAAAACAATCTAAAAGAGTGTGAAATTTAGATGAACTTCCAAAGAAAGATTTGATAAATCTCAAGACAAGATTGTTAGTTTTACCATGATTCATGTGATGGTCTGAACAAGCAGTGTTTTCTTTTCCTTAACAGTTTCATGGGCATCAAGCGGAAAAGACAGTGGCGGTGCGCCCCAGCTGAAAGGAGCGCGGTGGTTTTCCTACGACGAGCTCAAGAAATGCACCAACAACTTCTCCGCCAGTAATGAATTGGGATACGGAGGTTATGGGAAAGTGGGTTTATCTGAAATTTGCGAAAAATCGAAGGTTTTTAAACGATTGAATCTAGGTTTTTTTGAGAAGCTGTAATCGAAGATCGTCGTCTCTGTTTGATGATCTCCATAGGTTTACAGAGGAATACTCCAGGATGGGCAGATAGTGGCGATCAAGAGAGCTCAACAGGGATCGACACAAGGCGGGCTAGAGTTCAAGACAGAGATCGAGTTGCTGTCTCGAGTTCATCACAAGAACCTCGTCGGTCTTGTCGGATTCTGCTTCGAACAAGGCGAGCAAATGCTCGTTTACGAGTTCATGCCCAACGGAACACTCAGAGACAGCTTATCAGGTTCGGTCACCAACACAACACGAACACTCCTTCTGATCTGTGCTCTGATGAAAAAGAAAAAGGTGAAAACTTTAGATCAAACAATTCCGACAAAACTGGTTTGAGATTTCCTCGTTCTTCACTTGAATGTGGATAGGGAGGTCAGGGATCGTTCTCGATTGGAAGAGGAGGCTGAAAGTGGCGTTAGGGTCAGCGAGAGGGCTCACCTATCTCCACGAACTGGCCGATCCACCGATCATCCACCGAGACGTGAAATCCACCAACATTTTGTTGGATGAGAACCTTACAGCTAAAGTTGCTGATTTCGGTTTGTCTAAACTCGTCTCGGACTGCTCCAAGGGGCATGTCTCTACCCAAGTCAAAGGCACTCTGGTGAGTCTTTAAGATCATATTGCTCTCTCTGCAAGTCTCCCATCTCACTTTTTCTGCACTGATAAAATGGGACGAGAAAACAGAGTAAAAACTCAGTTTATTAGCACAAAAAAATTCCAACTTTTCGAAAAGTTGGGTTTAAGAAAATCCAAAGTTTGGATCTTTTATCAGTTAAACATTTGGGTTTTTTTCCAGTAAATGGGAAAGAATTCAGATCAAAGCAAAACTCAGTTTTACGATTATCCAAAGTCTGGATTGTTTTTATCTGTTTATTCACATATACAATGCATTCTGTACATATTCTCATTCACAGGGATATCTAGATCCAGAGTACTACACGA